CCATGGAAACCTTCATGTCGAAAGAGTTACATTTCATTTCGAAAGTATCACATTACTTTTCGAAAGATATCGTATTGCTTTTCGAACTCATTTCGTTACTTTTCGAACCTATTTCGTTACGTTTTTTATGTTTCGTTACTTTACGAAACGAAATTTTTCGAAAAGGGATTTTGCTACAGATGGCGCGCCATATACAACAAGGTGATGATCATTTCTTAGCCTCTGATACATCAGCCGGTACCCAATGCAGTTCGCAGACCCTGTTAACTCACTCTGATGATAATGATGGAAGAAACAAATAACTGCGAACATTCTTTTTTGTTAGTCTTGTCACCACACGGAAAATTTGTGGCAAACATAATTTTACAGTGACTGTGTTGTAATACCTACAAACAGAATGCACAGATTACGAATTAAAGAACCGTGCCATTAACTGTAGCTTAAATCAGATCTCGTAACCATTCAATGCGCGATACCCAAAGCTACTCCCAGACTTGTAAATATGTAGGCTAAGGCGGGTGGCTTACCGAAATGGCTGCAATAACTTCTCTTGCAGAACTTTTATGTTTCCTTCTATATAGGCCCATGCTGTTAAGCATTCGCCTTATGTGACGCATACTAAAAGGAGGAGAAGATTATATTGTAGAGTTTAATATTACTAGAAAATCCTGTCCATGTACTCAGTAACAACTGTCACTAGTGCAATGCTGGAGTTCTGCATACGGTTACCTGAAATAAATCCCATGAGCAAAGGCTAGGAAAGCCCATATTTCGGAATAACTGAAGCCTAAATCGAAGTAGTGTTTGAGGAGTTCTTCACCTTTCAAGTTAAGCTTTATCAAGGAAAATTTAACTTGTATCTCTAATGACAAGTTTCATAATAATAATAATAATAATAATAATAATAATAATAATAATAGCCGTCGTCATCGTTATCGTGATCGTCATAATCTTTTTGGATTGGTATTTGACCTCTTCAAAATGCTTTTTCTCATGAAGTCATTTTACAAAAACTAAGGCCATGCGAGCTTGCACACAGACTAATGCTGCAGAGACTTGACAAGAAACTCAAGTCAGCATATAAAACGGCTCAAAAATAATAAGAGAAATGATATTACATGATAATAAAAAATAAAGTTAAATAATAACAAATAAAAATAACGGTCATCATCATCATCATCACGAATAATACTGAGCACTTCTCTTGAAGCATAATATAGCGCATAACAAGAAGGTAAGAAATATATTTTTGCTAACAACATCTTAGTTCGGCGGTTCCGGTGGAGTAGAGGGTAAAGGGCAGACCGGCTGAAAAACAAAAATCAGATTTACGCAAAATTAGAACAGTTAACAAGGATACAAGATTGCGTATGATCCTGTATGGGTGCAATATACCTCGGAAGGACACTTCCAGATAAAGATACAAACTCTATCAGTAGAAGCAGGATCAACAGCAGGTTCGATGACAAAAACGTCATGATTCATTAGCCTTTTCAACGCAAAACGTAGATTTCAGGGAATTAATTATTACTCTATCACATGTACCGTAATACTACGCATTATTATATGCAAAACTCTCAAATAAAGCGTAATGAAATAGCTTACCCATCCAGTGGAAGAGGATAACCTGACCGTTCAGAAGGTAACCACGTGTCTACACGAAAAAGTCCGAGTTGTAAATTTTCAAATGCACACAACTCGAATTTCTGCGGTTAAAATTCGAGTTGCAAATTTTGAAACGCACACAACTCGAATTTCTGCGGTTAAAATTCGAGTTGCAAATTTTGAAACGCACACAACTCGAATTTCTACGGTTAAAATTCGAGTTGCAAATTTTGAAACGCACACAACTCGAATTTCTGCGGTTAAAATTCGAGTTGCAAATTTTGAAATGCACACAACTCGGATTTTTGCGGTTAAAATTCGAGTTGCAAATTTTGAAACGCACACAACTCGAATTTCTGCGGTTAAAATTCGAATTGCAAATGTAAAGTGTGAAAAAAATAAATGGATGTCCTATATGAGCCACGGTAGTTTCAGGTATAAACTTACCAAACATTTTGCTCACTCTAGCCTCATCCAGAGGTGGTTTGTTTGATCTTCTTGACTGGAATAATATTCCCTCACCCAGCTCTTGTTTCTGGAATAAAATGTCTAGGAGGTTCAGAGCACACTTGTGGGGCTCCTTGGGGAGTGCCTTGGCATTCATCAGGTTAATGCCATTATGCCACTGAAAGAAATTTAACATGTCATTAATCCTTCAAGAGGAAATTTCCTGCTTCTATTATTTAGATAAGGTGCATGTCATTATACACGTATCTGCATATGTGCACTTTTTCTTAATTAATAATAGTGCAGTCTACAGGTGTATAGTACGTTTATGATCCTGTAACATTTAATGATAATAACATTTTGTGCCATTTTAAATTCCCCCTGGCTCTTTCTCCACTGCTGTGGTCGCAGTCCTTGTTTTATACTAACTGTTGACACAATTAATTTAAGTTTCAATAATCATTTATATGGATCACCATGTCAACTATAATTTAGTGAAATTATATATAATTTGTCCACATAAGCACCATCCATGGATAGAAGTTCAAAAATTATGGAAATTCTGAGGGGGCAGAGTCTCAAAATTAAAACAAATTGTTATATTGTTCCAAGGAAAGTATGAATTTTTAAGAAACAAAGCGTCAGACTTATCTTGATATGTTTTAAAAAGTTCGTTGACATTTAACTGGTAGTAAACTCGAATTTCCAAGATGGTTGCCAGGTAGGTATGAACATTTGGGGGAAAACAAATTAATTTAACTTTTCTTACAATTTCTGGTTTACTGAGAGCTGTATTTAGAGCAGGAGCCTCGTTACCATGAAGGTTTGAACCAGATGGAGACTAAAATAGAAGTGAACAAACATAGTTAGCTGCAGTTAAAATTATAACGTTACCGTTGGTGTGTTCTACTTTTAAAACTCTTCAACAAATAGTAAGTGGTACATAAGAATGCTTCTTACTTTTACATAGCTTCCATGTGTACTTTCACATTAGAATGGGGTTATAACCTTTGTTTGTAAGAATTGCAGTTTCACTTGGGTATAATAAACTATACAAGAATCAAGTTAAACTAAGCAGGCTATTTTATTGAAGCCGAGTTTGAACCTCCATGGTTTGGAGAACAATTAGCAGCTGGGACAGTACTGGAGAGTTTTTCTTTGATGTTTTCCAGTGATGCTTTCATTTCTTGCACTTCCCGTTCCAAATGTAGAATTTTTTCCTCCAGTTGACTAGCTGCAGGGGCTGTGCACGTTGGCCGAGCAGGTATGTTGGCGATTGGCTGTATGAATTGCAAAAATTTAAACTTTTTGTTTTAATTCAACCTCTCTCATGAACTAATTAACATTGCATGCCGTCCATAAAAAATTATATATTTTTTTATTTAAACCCTCAAGTCAACCCCAAGGTTCTGGAAATTGCAATTTAACTTCACCCTTTCCTTAAAACCAGTGTTCCGGATAAAACGGGGATCGCGATCTTAGGTCAAATACCCTACAAGGTCAGATTACATACTTAAGAAGGGGGGTTGATCAGCTAGCTGTTTCAATTTTTCAAGGCAGCTTTTCTTTCCTTAAACACGTACCAGTAGATATATTTATATCATATACTGTACTTGCCTTCTTTCCAAGCTTTAAGAGTAGTTTCGCAACTTTGTCTTGTTCCGCCTTCATGAATTCATCTCCACTATCGTCACTGCTATCTTCGACAAAATCTGGTTGTGCTTGTGCCTTGCGTTTCCTGGATTGTAGATCAGCTTGATCTTAACTTGCACACTTCATTGGTTCCCCTTTGCCTTTCACTGGCTCTTCTTTATCTGGTACTAAAATTTTTACTGAACTTTATGAGCAAAGAAAGCGGATCAAAAGCGAAGATACCGTAAAATTCCGAAAATAAGCCCCTCCAAATATAAGCCCCCCAAACTTGTAACGCAAAAAACCCTCCGTTAAATCGCCCCTCCAAATATAAGACCCTGGGGGCTTGTACTTGGAAATTGCCCTCAAATACAAATTAAAACGAAGCAAAAACGGTAAATTTCCCTTCAACTATAAGGGTAGCCCAATCGATTTTGAAACGCAAATTTCCCTCCATAGATAAGCCCCTCCGACTATAAGCCCCTCCAAAAATAAGCCCCTCAAGAAGGGCCTTTGAAAATTATAAGCCCCGGGGCTTATTTTCGGAATTTTACGGTATGTTAACCATAACATTTATGATCCTAGGTAGCCTATAATGCTAGCTAGCTACAATAGCATAACATACATGACAGACATTTCCTCTAAGCAGTTTTTTGGGAACCATTTGATGTGAACAGTGCATATAACATGACCGCAATGCAAGGCAGCGCACCCTACAAAAATGCATAAATATTTCTTATACCCCGAGGATGTAATCATCTTCACGGGATTTCACCAAAGTTTTTCTTATGTAGAAGAACCTTATAGCAACCGAACCTCACCTGCTGTGATGCGTTGACCTGTCTGGTATTGCAATTTAATGATCGTTTCCATGTCTTCTTTGGTTCCTTGTGAAGAAAGTTACTGGAATTAGTTAGTCATTAGCCCACGAGCAGGCTCTATTACACTACCCCAACAAACTAGACATCCTGGTCGCTTAAAAAAGACTTTGAAATTGTTTTATTGTACATTCCCGCCCTGGAAATATCGCGGTAGCATAGACCTTGTCGCGGTTTTGGAAGCCATCAGTGTTTGTATGAGATTCTCATGTCGAATAATTTCTGTAAAACGGCTGTTCTAAAAAACATATCAATTGTAAACTAAAGCTACACAGCAAAGGATTCTATTAATAAGTTTTTGGGGCGGTACCTGTGCTTAGATTTTTCCAGAGGCTTGCTTTAGATTTTCAACGTTTGTCTGCAATTTTTTGCGGGAAATTTTTACAGACAAATGTGTAAAAAATTTTAAAAGTGATTTTAGGTCTTCTAGCACATGTAACGCCCTCAATTTGTTTTGTTGTAGTAGAACCCTTAGGAGCAAAGCGCTAGTTCACGATTCATTTTTTTTTTTCAGAAAAGCCATTTTACAGAAAGTATTCGACCACCCCCTTGACTCATTCCCACGGATATAAACTTGGTCAAGCTTAGTAGAAAATTTAATCAATTAATTTTCAAAAACGAAACACGAAAAACAGCTGTCATACATTTTACTTTTCAGTTCTCACTATCGGATCTGTAAGTACGAGGGTCTTTTGTGCCCTTTCCGCCTCCACCCGCCCCCCTTTACCCATTCCCGCTGATACAGACCTGGTCATGCTTGGTAGAAAATTTTATCAATCGATTTTCAAAAACGAAACAGAAAAAGAGCTGTCGTACATTTATTCCATTCTTCGCTATCGGATTTGTAATGTATAGCATGTGTAATTGCTTGGTTACGAGTAATTTCAGCAACGTTTACGGTATGACACTTTGTGATGCATATTTGAAGTGCCCGTAAAACGAACCACGAGGTGAATAGCACATGCTTTTCTTGTCCTCTTTTTAATCGTGAAAAACTTTTTTTATGAGGCCAAAAATTTAAAATGCGAAATCAAATTTCCTTGTTACGTATCTGCGACTACGCAGCATAAATGATTTTCAATAACATTGAAGGATTGTTCGAGAAAATGGAAAGGCCGCTTTTCTACGTTTCACCGTGTACTCAATGTCAGTGAAAAGCGGCATGGAAACTGTTCTAAACAGATGTTGGCAGTAGTTAAAACCATTGGCACTTTCCCATGGCACTTACTTTCACATTTCTATGAAATTAATCTAACATGAGATCGAACAAGAGATCGAAGAAGAGATCGAACATGAGTTTAAGTTAAAAATTCATAATGGACAGGACTCGCGTAAACAAGGATTGTGGAGTGATGTTGCATTTTCCATTAGTCACTGTCAACAACAACAGTCCTATTCAGGACTATATATGTTCACCTGGACGATCACGCTTAACCTACTAATGAGAATACATTATGAGAGGATATGAAACTGCCACTTATATAGGGGGAAAACTATGCTACATATATAGTACTATATTCTGATGCAGAGTTTTATTTGAAATCTGTTAGGGTTTACCACCATGTCTGAGGAACTGCTTGTTAGTATACAAAAAGCAAAATCAGACCTTGCAAAAGCACTAATGTCAGGAGTTAAAGAAAGAGTCGAGCAGGTAAGAAGATCATTTGAGGTTTATTTTATATACATCTATATCAGTACCCAAAACATTCATCTAAGAGGAATTTTGAGGTGTGCAAGCAATTTTCTAGCCACATGATTTTTTTTTCAATTTCTCTTGCATGAATATTCTTGGGTGTTTTGCCTCCCCTGCCCCTTCGCTTCCCCATAACGTTTCTTATGATCTGTCCTTAATTATATAAAAGATATCATATATGAAAATCATGTATGAGAACTGCAGGGTGAAGAATTATATGAAAGAAGATCATCGCAGTTATAGAGGCAACTTTTGCAATTGGCCTTTTGCAATTGGCCTGAAAAATTCAGGCTTGTACATTTTTTTAACGGTTTAGCTAAAAGCCCACGCGTGCTTCTATCGTCCTGAATATTGAATGAGTGCAATTTCTGTTGCAAAATTGTGAAATACTGCATTCTGTCCGAGGTCTGTATGATAAAAACAGTACCTCATAGTACTGTTTCACCTCAGATGCGATGTATAAATGGTATAAAAGGTTGGTTTACACGCAACCAGATTTGTTGGCAAGATTTTGTAAAGTAAACTTGTCGAACGCAAAAAAAAATCAACCTGATTTTTTTTCCAGGCCTAATTTAATCTTACGGTGATCAAGAGCCATTATGGCTCTTCAATGTGATCGAAGATGATTGCTATTTTTTGGGTGTACATATGAGGTTATCAACTCGATGTAAGATTTTGTCCACTCTTGGGCTGTTTGCAAATTATTTTTCTCTAAAATCACTTAGCCTTTCCCTCAAAAGTCACATGAATGTGCTACGTGCTCTAAAGTTAACTAAATTGTGGAATACAAGTTTATTGTTTGATTTAAATTATAAATAAATTAATGGGAGCCTCGCTTTTAGCCCTGGCTAAATCTATATATTATCCTTCGTTGTTACGTTTGTATTTAGCACATTCTGATTTATCTTTCATTGTTAAGTTAGTGATCAGCGTGCTCTGAGTTTTCTTTCGTTGTTACGTTAGTGATCAGCGCTCTCCGTTGATTTAATTTCTGCTATAAATTATAACTTATAAGATTAAAGAACAGAAAAATAAAAAGTCGAAGAAAAGAAACTTAGTATTTTCAAAGATTATCAGCGTGCTCTGAGTTTTCTTACGTTGTTACGTTAGTGATCAGCGCTCTCCGTTGATTTAATTTCTGCTATAAATTATAACTTATAAGATTAAAGAACAGAAAAATAAAAAGTCGAAGAAAAGAAACTTAGTATTTTCAAAGATTATCAGCGTGCTCTGAGTTTCCTTTCGTTATTACGTTAGTGGTCATCGAGCTCTGATTTATCTTTCATTGTCACGTTAGTGATCAGCGCACCCTGATTTGTCTTTCATTGTTACGTTAGTGAACAGTGCGCTCTCAGTTATCTATCATTGTTACGTACGTTAGTGATCAGAGCGCTCTTATTTATTATTCATTGTTACGTTAGTGTTTAGCGTGCTGTGATTTATCTTTTATTGTAACGTAAGTGATAGCGCGCTCTGATTTATATTTAATTGTTACTCTAGTGATCAGCCTGCTCTGATTTACCTTTCATTGTCACGTTAGTGATCAGCGTGTTCTGGTTTATCTTTTATTGTTTCGTAAGTGATAGCGCGCTCTGATTTATATTTTATTGTTACTCTAGTGATCAGTGTGCTCTGATTTACCTTTCATTGTCACGTTAGTGATCAGCGTGTTCTGGTTTATCTTTCATTTTCAAAATAGTGATCAGCGCGCTCTCATTTATCTTTCATTGTTACGTTATAAACCCTTCATATAATTCTTCACCCCGCAGTTGTCATATATGATTTTCTTATATTCATAACTACATCATAACCTGTCCTTAAGTAATCCAATCTTTCTCAACATAGATCCTGTTCTTGTTAAAGCAAAGCTATGAAACAATGGTTTCGACTACTATCAAAATTTGAAAATTTTCCATGTTTTTATTTTACATAAAATAGGCAAGGAAAATGTGTTTGACGATATTCTAGAAAGAAAAAAAGCTTTTCTAGACTATAAAAACAAGGAGTTAAAATAGGCGAAAAACTGGGATTTTTGTAATTTTTTACCGTGTTGAATTCACACGTATAGGTTGAGGATGATCGTCCGGGTGAACGTAGTCCTGAATAGGACTGTTGTTGTTGACAGTGACTGACCTTTCGACAAACTGTGTGGTAGTGATCTTCAGAGTCGATCACCCGGACGATCACACTCAACCTACTTATGAGATAATTACATTATGATAGGATATGAAACTGCCACTAAATAGAGTAGTATACGGGGAAAACTATGCTAAATTGTAGGTACTTTAGGCCCAATAGACGATTTAGTGATCACGCGTATTAACTTAATTGCCTTTTGCTGAAATGTGTTAATTGCAGTATAGGAAAAAATTGGAAGACAGGAAAAATGAATGGGTAAACAAACTCCGGATGAGGGAATATGAGCCCGTTGAAGAAGACTTCGACATTGATGATTTTCGACAACCGCCCCTCGAATGTTTGGATGAACCTAGTGATGAGGAGGTAGGAAGCACTGGTTGGGAAGACGAGGATAATCTCAACAACAGTGTCGACGAAAAGCAGAAGGTATCTAAAAAGGCAGTTAAAGGTGAAACAACAGTGGCAACTCTCATCAGACGAGAAAAAAGAATCTTTGCCCCATTAAAGGGTGTAAATCACAGGTACGTGATCTTCCCCGCCATTTGAGAGACGTTCATAAATTTCCAAGAGAAAAAGCTAAAAAGGCGACCTCCAGGTTTGGAATGTGGGAAAGCTTTTCGTCTACTAACATGGACGGAAAAGGAAAAGACCGCAAGTGGAAAGACTATCATTACCACCGCAAGTGCCCAATTTCAGGTTGTCACTCGATAGTAAAGCGACTTTCCCAACATTTACGGCAAGTACACAAGGAAATACGGAAGGGCTCATCGGAATACAAAGCCATATTAAAAGAAGCTCGGCCAAGAAAACCTTCGCGTTCATCAGCACTGGTGTCAAGAAGAACTGAAGAAGCCGAAATAAGCCTCAGTAGCAACAGTGATAATAACAGCGTAGCTGGAACTAGCGTAAAAGGTGACGGCAACAAGGATAGCGGCACAGAAAATTCAGATAGTATCAGTGATGGTGACAACTGTGGCTATGAAGGTACACCTGACAGTGATTCACAAACGGAAGCTGAAAGCACTGGCAATTTAGAAATAAGCCATGGTATATTTGGTTCTTTCATAAGCTGGCTACAGACAACTGATGGTGGAAGGAAACCGCACAAAATGTCGAAACAGCATGCCTCACAGGTAGAAAAGATGCTTACTGTTATTGACCCGAACAAAGATCTGGCGTCGCTATTTGATCGTAAACTTATTCGTGACACTTTCTTAAGAGATCACGCTGAAAAAACCTACAAACCTGACACTATTAAATCGTACTTGTTAAGTCTACGGTATTTCTGCAGCTTTGTCTTAACAGAGCGTCCTGAGGGCCTAAATGTGGACGATGCTAGTATTAATGTAATTGATGAGAAAGCCCGTTTGTGGTCGACTTCATACAAGAAAGATTGTCAACGTAGGCATTTGGAGAAACAGGATGAAGATATTTCTAACTTGATAACAGCTGAGATGGTGACTACATTTGAGCAGAGTGAATCAACACGAAGAGCAGTGTCCCTCATTGGTCAGCTTAGTGGGGCTCACTGTATTCAACTTAACCAAGAACAGTACACACTAATTAGAGATTTCATCCTAACTGAAATGACAATCGCTAATGCCCATAGATCGGGTGTGCTAGCTAACATGACTATAGGTGAGTTCAACAAATCAAAGCATGAAAGTAATGGAAGCTACGTAATAAGTGTAAAGAACCATAAGACTGCATCCATTCATGGTCCTGCCAGAGTCGTGCTTTCACCTAAACTGTTTGGTTACCTGAAAGTGTACGTTAATGAAGTGAGAAGTGTAGTAAATTCGACCAAAGATGAAAATGACTCTGTGATATTGTCGTGGAGTGGAGCAAAGGTCGTGTCAGGCCAAATATCAACTGCAATCAACGCCGCTTGGAAAAAAGCAGGGTTAGAGGGTCATATCAGTTCAACTCTTTTCCGAAAGTCAGCGGTGACTGCCGTACATACCAACCACAAAGACATGACAGGACAACTCGCTGATCTCATGGCACACAAAGAGTCGACAGCCCAAAGGTACTACAAACTTCACGAGAAACAAAAATCCTGTGTTGAAGCAGCAGCCGAGCTTCCCTCCATTATGAGAACAACAAAAAAAGTACTGGAGGGAGGCGATTCCATTACTACTATGGAAGAAGATATTCCTGCTGGTACTAAAGATAGCACGGAGAAACATGTAACCTGGAACAAGCAACAAATAGAAGCCATAAGAGAGCTCTTCCGTGAAGAAATCGACCAGAAGTCGGTAACAATGGCACTTGTCAGAGAAAAGATAACAAATAATGCGATCCTTTGTAATCAAGACCCTAAAAAGATCTGCGACAGAGTTCGCAGTGAATGGCGTCACAAACATGATGAAAGTCACTTGGAGACTGCTGGTGCAGTTGATCCTCCAGATGAAGAAGAAACTTTTTCAGACAAAATGAGTCGCTATATGTCAAGTTCAAGTGTTTCAGAATTTGTGCCACCATCTAATTCAAGGTACATGAGCCGAAACATTTTTTCCTTAAGGGAAAAGGAGGATCTCCTTCGGCTATTTAAGCCTACAATCAAGAGTGGAATTATCTCAAAACCAGCCGTAAAGAACATTCTTGAAGAAGACGAGGCTGGGAGGCAATTCTTAAAAAAATTTACCGTAGATCAGATTGTCAACCGTTTAAAATATGAGAGGCCGATGAACCAAAAGCGTACTTAAGCTAGGTTCACTGTTATGTCTTTTTGCAGAGGTTTCTGATGCCAGTTTAAATAAGATGAAAAAGATGAAGCTGGGAGGCAACGCTTGCCTAAATTTACAGTATTAGAAATCCTTAACCGCTTACAATATGACGGACAGATTAAAGCAAAAGCATACTTAAAGAGAGCTAGGTGTTGCCTCTTTTTAGAGGTTTGTCATGTTAATATTAATAAGGCGTAGTTTATTTGAAGCTAGTTTTGTTGTCATGTCTCTTTTTAGACGTTTGTCATGTTAATATTAATAAGGCGTAGTTTTTTTGTCATGTTGAAATAAGTAACACACTTCCTGTTTTTCATGTTCAAAGTACTTTGAAATTTGATTATGATAATTAATTGGTAAGTCGAACTCTTGCTTTCTTTAAAATTTCCAAGAGTTATTGTAAATCAAATTTTTTTCGGCAATATTGTTATTAATTATCTTAAGTAAGGAGAGTTTTATATTCATTGAAAGGATGAAACCCGAAATTAAAAAAAAAAAAACAAGACAAGCATTTTAGTCTTAATATATACATTATACTTTCTAATAATTTGACAAAAAAATTTTTAAAAGGTTTTTCTCAGTCATCTGTATTGACAAGAGTTTTCCGGGATGCTCACAAAGAACAAGTAGCGTTGAGGTCACTTTAGACCTCATGAGAGCCTTGCTTTGGTGATTCATACCAGACTAAGATGGAGTTTCGCAGATAATGACCGCACAGCACTCTCATTTATAAGCCCGACCAAATTGGAAGCCGCGCACCAAAAGAAAAAGCCCTTTAAAATAAGCCCGTCCTTAAGCCCACGGCTAAACAGTCGAACATTTTCGTTGAATACCGTGTTGGAAGAGCATGGTGATCAATGATCGTTAAGCCACCTCATGTTGTGCATGACAAAAGCAATGTTGGAGATAAATGTTTGATCGTTGAGCTGATGCTTTATATAAACCTCCGCGAGGTTATGGTTGACAATTGCCCTCATATGCAAAATTAATCCATACCATACCGGAAACTGTGCTTAGACAAATCGAGGAAGCACTCTAGTAACTCGCGCATATATTAAGGAAAGTACTTACAGTTAAAATATACAGTCAGTATGCCAGAAAAAATCTTTTGCTTGAACAGAGGCCGCAAGGAATCGGTAGGTAATGATGATGTTTCTATTGTTTGCGCCCGCAAGTACAAAATAGTTAGGATGACGTAAAGACTGAAAATCCCGAAGGGACCGCCTAGGTAGATTTCGTGACATTTATTGTCCAGTCATACTTGGATACTCTTTTGCGTTACGTGTTATCAGTGACATTCTGTGGAGCAGTTACTTTTACCGTATGGAAAAACGGACAGTCTTCAAAGCAGAGGGAGGGAAAAGGTGTCCGAAACACACAGCTGGCATGTCGTTGAGGTCAAATATCATAGGCTGCGGAATCTGGAGGGCTAGGGAAGTCCCCCCTCTTGTTTTTGTTTTTTTGTTGTTGTCGTTTGTTTGTGGGGAAGGGGGCACATCTCCCTCACTTTTGTAGAATAATAAATATAACTTTCTTTTATTTTTCCACGGTAACTCGTTAGGACATAAATTTACTGTTTTGGAAAGTTCAAGTTAACGCCGACTCGTCTGTTTAAAACATGAAACAACGTACGTAGCCGGTTGGATTTGGGACATTTCATTTTTTTTATTCGCACTCCCTCCCCCCCCCCTTCCCAACCCGCTATGGAAGGCTATCCTACGTAGTTTTTGTTGCTGGCACCATTGAAGATTGCATCCGAGGAGTCCAAAATATTGTGGACGTCTAAGAACAGGACAGAGACCAGCTTTTATTGTTTATAGGGGGAGGGAGGGGGTGGGCGGAAAATGTGGCTAAAGTGCCCTAACTCCCGAGACAAAAATGCCCTAATGTGATCAAAGTGCCCTAAGGTGACCGAAGTGCCCTAACCTCTGTGACAAAAATGCCCTAATGTGACCGAAATGCCCTACGTAACGAAAGTGCCCTACCTAACGTGACATAAATGCCCTAATGTGGCATAGATGCCCTATTGCACGTTGCATAAATGCCCTTAAATCTAACCCTCTCTCTCCATAAGCAAAGTAGGGAACTTCGGTAACATCTTTCTCTTTTACCAATATCTACGCAGCAGAAGCGTGGTAAACCATAAAACCTACGTAGGACATGCCTCATTTACTGGGTAATGTTCGCAGAGAATCGCAAGTCCTTACGTTAAAAATGCATAGAATAAGCCACCAAAATGTAGCCGAGAGGTTACAAAAGCGCCCTATGTCGTGGTAAGCACTTTTTTAAAAGCTTTTAAAACAATTTCTTCGGCAAATTGTAGCTTATACCTTACCATGTATATGCTACACGATTCTCTCGACTACCACAGCCTTTTAAATTGGAGATATTTGCGCTCAAAAAAATCTGCCGTGTATGTGTATGACTGTTCATGTCCATGAAAGGTTTCAGGATTCGCAAAAAGCCTGCTAATTGCATCGAGAGTTTGAAAAGTCGATTATGGCACTCTGACTAAATGAAATGTGACGAAAATTTCCTGGCAGTTAAAGTAGTCACTTAGGTACCTAATGATGCAAAGTTGGTAAGAATCTGATGGTTTGTTATTTTTTTTGTGATTTTTTTTGTTACCCATGTCTCCAAATCAGTTACGTTACAAAAGCGCCTTATTTGCGCTAAGGTTCCAATGAGTGATATTCCCATAATTTTTTAAGAGAAAACAAAAATCATTAAAATCAAATTAAAGACAAACATAGCAGCAATAAGTGACCAAAGATTCAATTTTGTGCATTAAAAGGGAAACGAGTTAGAGATACGAAAGGTGTTTTTGAGCCTCGACGCTTTTGGCGTCCCTGTGTACGTATAAGGTTGCGAAAAAAATCTGTGAACTCTACGCAATAATTAACGGTTGTATAAAGGTATAGGATAAGTAGTTTAATTAAGAGATAATTGAAGTACAGCAATTTGTTCTCCACTTTTATAACACTGCAAGCTGAATGTGTTGTGGTTTACTGACCCAACCTAACTATCCATTTTCCGAACTAAAGGAGGTATCTAGTTCCGGGGTAACATCAACTTCACCTTATCTGCTTCATTGGGAGCGGATCGAAAGAAATCAGAGAGCGGAAGCGGGACACTCACAGGTTATATAGATACTTTTATTTACAGTGAATTCTTTACGAAAATAATAACACAAAATTTCACAGAAAAGGCGGGGGCGGTGGCCCCCTCGGCCCCACCACTAAAAACCGCCCATGTTCATGGTAGGGGTACAAGGGAAACAGGTTTCTAAAGTGTATGGACTATATGGTATGCTTCAGTGATTATCAAGCACTGTCTCTTACAAACGAAAGTCATGCATTTATATTGACTTCATGTTTAAATGGATGGTGTCCTCGTTTTTTGTTGTTGTTGTTGTTTTGGTTTTTATTTATTTATTTATTTATTTAAAAATTTAGCCACTGAAGTTACTATTCGAACTAGGAAAACTTATTAAGTGTCCCCCTCGATTTAGTGCCCTCCTTTCAATATGGCCCCTCCTTTTAGTGGAAATTTGAAATAAGCTTATTCGCGAGGAAATACGGTACATCAGTGAGTCAAACCGCTAGACCGCCCATGGAGTTTATACAACTAACATTTATTGATATTTTTAAATAAAAAAAAACAGCTGCGTTGAGGAAATTAAAGCATATCAATTTTACTAGGACACACTTTTTTAAGTGTTTAAGTGTTATTCAGGAAGATTTGATTTTATCTTTACCGTCCACTTGTTCAATTCTGGACCCACCCATAAACGTGATCATTCATGAATGAACGCTTGCGCACAACTGCTCGTACACTGCGCTGTATTTGTTTTTTTAAATTATATATTCTTAGCAAGTGAAGAAAGAAACTATCAATGGCCATTCATGGGAAATCAGTTTGCAAATGTCATAACCACTTTTACTGAGCTAGGCTCCGTAGCGGCGGCGTATGGGTAGGGGGTTGATTAGAAGTCCAAATACTGTTTAACAGACTGAATTTTTGTTTCATTCAGGGTGTCTCCCAGCCCATTCCTGGGAGATGAAAAGTCATTATTAAAATCGCCACAAAGTGAACGCTGTTACCATGCGCTGTTTGATTAGTATATTGATCAGTACACTTCGGGCTCACATACACAATTCAAAGTAGACAGACTGCAAGTTATATTAGTTGCTAAAAATATATATATCTACGTGTCACAACTGTTCATCAGTAGGATGCCTAAAATGAGTAAAATTCCACAATTGGTTTCGGCTCCATTAAAGTCAAGGTACCTAAATTCAACATTAAATTCAAGGTTCCTTTGAAGCTCAGTTCAATGACCACGTGCGTGGCTTCAAATAGGTGGATATTTTGCTGTAAATTAAAGGTTCCTAAACACAGCTTTTAGAGGGTATAGGCTACAATTTGCGCTCATGAAACCTACCTTTGCTAACTAGCGCATAACGTGGAAACTATGCTTATGAAGGGTAACAGGAATAAGTTTTAAAAAGTCAGATATATTGCTTTCAAAATTTAGTGTTTCTGAGTGTGTAGAGGAAAAGTTCATGAAGGAAGTTGCTTCTTTGGTAAAAAAGAAAAATTGACGATTTGATGCTAGAGACAATAACGTTGTCTGAGACGGTAAATAAGACAGACCCATTAAATGTCTGAGGACTTAAACGTCTTCTGTTTAGTGCGTCGTTAAAGACGCACGTAACAGATGGCTTTAACGTCTCAGACGTTAAATGCGTCTAGTATAAAAACGGGACGTAGTTAACTTGGACGCTTTTATGCCTGTCCCGTCCACAAACGACAGGAAGAGTCAGTACTTTGTTTCTTTTTTTGGTTTTTTAGAAAATTCTGTTATTTTTTAATGTTGTCGTCTTCTTTTACACGTTTACACCAGATGACTTCAATGCCTCAGACGTTAAATGCGTCTAGACGACTTTGACGTCTCTAGCATAAAGACGGCCAATTATGCCTAACACACGAAGCGCGAACGAGCGAGCGAAAGTGCCGTGTCCTACCACACCAGACCAGAAAACCATGCGAACGACTTTGAGAAAGTCTAGCGCAAGATTTATTTAATGTTCCAATTCAGATAAAACTGAAATTGATATTCAGTCCTTTAGGCCTAATGGTGCCTAGCTGGAAAATCAACTGCATCTCACGTTGCTTTCGTTGAATGTTAGTACCGCTGCATAACGCCACAGCATGCACCTGGTCAGTTTAGTTTTCCTTACTTGTTTTTTTTATTAGTTGTTGTTACTTTTTGCACGGATGACACAATGTTTAATAAATTCTTTCTACGAAAATTGCACTCGGATGATGTGCCAATAAAGTGTTATGTCGCGAGAGTTATTACTCTACGGAGAATATTGTTTTTTTTTTTAACTGTATCTGCAGCTTCATTACGGTGGATGTTCACTGTCGGGTAATTTTTACGTGCGTACAGGCGTAACGTTTACATTTACATGCGACACTTCATAAATTGCCTCTATTTCTATTAACTTTATAAAGTTATCTGCAAACACATTAAAAAATATCACGATTGCACCTTTAGAGTAGCCAAGCAACATTCTTAAACGCACTTGTGACGCGATATTTCTAGCAACATTTTATCTGTGTGAGCAAAAAATCACCTTAAAACATTTTCATCAGACTGTTCTGGTCACTAAATCACTGAAAGTTAGTTTAAAAGTGCCTCAGTTACAAAAGTGCCAGATTGTTACAAAAGTGCCCCTTTCGGGTTACATTAGTACCCCATTGTTACAAAAGTTCCCTATGAACGTGACAAAAGTTCCCTATCAATGTTACGAAAGTTCCCGAAGTTACTAAAGTCCCCTATTTTTGTTAAAAAAGTGCCCTTTTTTCATGACAAAAGCAAAGTAGGGAACTTCGGTAACATCTTTCTCTTTTACCAATATCTACGCAGCAGAAGCGTGGTAAACCATAAAACCTAAGTAGTAATAGACGGGGGGTTCTACGAAGTGGTGGAGGTGGTGGAGTGACGTCACAACAGCTCAGGGGATTTAAATGATGAGGTCATCACCTAAAAATAGAAAGGTATTCTGTATAGCAATCTAGGGAGTTGATGTCATCAAAAAAACGATGAGATCATCATCAAAATAATCATTTAATATGGTAACTGGTGAGATGACATCATCAGCTTAAATTAGAAAGGGTTTTTTGACATGATCAGCTATTTTCTATAGTCTATGAGATCATTATTTATTTTTATCTTTTCAAGACCATATAAATGAAGGTCATTATAATTATTAATTATTATTCTCATCCAAAACGAAAATGGGTATTATCCAGTCTTTGATAAGAATAAAGCTTAATTATTATCATATGATCGCGAGGGACATAGTTCCCCCCTCAAAAGAAATGTCTCTCAAGAAAATATTTTGCGTCCTCCCAGGGTCAACAATTTCCAAGCTGAAAGAACTCCATTCTGAAGTATTTCTAAAAGTTAATTTGGGCAGACTTTTGGTGTTCTTGAAATTTGCAGAGGATCTGGAACTGACGCAGGAAGAATGGGGACAATTATATGCTGTTATTTATCCCACTTTGTCAAATCTGAGAGCAGATATAAGGCGATAATGTAGGCAGTAAAATCATTTAAGACTCAAACATTGCGAAGTGATTATAGCGATGGGTTTTTGTCCACCATGTACAACTTTTGGATTTGAACGAATTTTTAACTGTATACGCTGTGTGCTAGCTTGCTGTGGTGGTAAAGTAATTGTACAAAACTCAGAGTTTTGTGATAGAGAAAAAACTAGCCAGTGTTTACCTCGACCCAAGTCACCCCACAAGTTTCGGTGGTGTAGATGCTGTCTATAGAGCGATTAAAGAACAGGGAGAAACCGACATTTCACGAAAAGATGTTCAAGATTGGTTGAGTCAGCAAGATGTTTACACCCTCCATAACCCTACCCGCAGACGTTACAAAGGAAGCTGCGTTATCCTTTCCGGTATAAATGCTCAATTTCAAGCAGATCTGGCTTATGTACAAAATTTAAGTCGTTACAACAAGGGATACAAATACCTTCTTACTTGCATAGACGTCTTCAGCAAGTATGCCTGGACTGTGTCTTTAAAGACTAAAATGGGTCAAGAACTAGTCAAGGCATTTCAGACGATACTGTCCTCTGGTCGTAAACCAAACAAACTACAAACGGATCAGGGGAAAGAGTTCGTAAACAAACATTTTTAGAAATTGTTACGTGATAAAAACATTCATTATTTTACTACTAACTCGGGTTGAAAGCGTCAGTTGTTGAGAGGTATAATCGTACGTTAAATAATAAAATGTATCGATATTTTACTGCTAAAAACACCTTAAGATATATTGATGTGTTACCTAAACTAGTATCTTCATATAATAAAACATATCACCGAAGTATTAAGATGGCCCCTATTCAAGTAACTAAAAAGAATGAGGCTAAAGTATGGGACATCTTATACGGTGAAGATAAACAGAAGCGTGTGCGATATAAATTTGCTGTGGGTGATCGCGTGAGGATAAGTAAAGTAAAGCGAAAGTTTGAAAAATCATACCTTCCTAATTTTACAGCAGAAATTTTTACTATCTACAAACGAATGACACCTCGAGTACCTGTCTATAAACTTAAGGATGATGCGGGGGAAATTTTAGAGAGAACCTTTTATGAACCAGAATTGCAAAAAATAGTTAAGAATGACGATGTTTATCGCGTAGAAAAAATCTTGCGTAAGAGAAAGCGAAATGGTGCAGTGGAATATCTTGTGAAATGGAAAGGTTATGAAGATCCTAAATTTAACTCTTGGGTGTCTGAAAGAGACATTTCAAAATTGTAATTAAGTTTATTTATGCTTGTGTTCAATAAAATAAAGTTAAACTGCTGAAATGGTCTTTGAGTGCTCTATTATAAAGTTCGATTTTCCCTTAGAGAAAGACCATTTGATCACTAGAAAGCATGGAAACAACACAGTTTTATCTTCATCTACCTAGTAATAGTAGCCTGGATAACTTTCCAGACAACACACTAACTGAGTACCGAGTTAGTTTACCCCAGACCATTACTCTGGAGGGAGAGTGGAAAGTAGCCTTGACAGAAATTCATTACCCTCATAGCTGGAATAACATTAGAGGGGATTTTATGAACCGCATCCTACTTCGTAATGAAGACTTTCCCATATGGGCAGTATTGATCATCCCACCAGGTCATTATTCTACCATTGAGGATGTTATCGCTAAAATGAACGAGCTTGTTGCAAAGGATCAACGTTGTAAAGATGACGTGAAATTTACTTATGATTCGTTCAGCAGAAAGGTTACGGTTCATTTAGAAAATAACACAGAGATCTCTTTGCGAGATATTTCATATTTGCTTGGTTTTTCTGGACCTCGTGTTATTTCAAAAACGGTTACGGCTGAAAGGGAAGCGGATATAGAAGATGGTTTACACGATCTATACATTTATTGTGACATTGTCAAAGCACAATACGTTGGGAACGCACTTGTACCTTTGCTACGCATTGCCCCAGTAGAGGGTGTCGATGGTCAGCGAATCAGCAAGTCATTCCTGCACCCGCAATACATCCCGGTTGACAGAAAGGTGTTTGAAACTATTGAAATAAATATAAAGCGTGACACTGGTGAGTCTGTATCGTTTGAGTTTGGAAAAGTGTTACTAACACTTCATTTCCGTCAGAGTAGACCCGCTTACTTTTGAACAGTGGGATGAAGAAACTTCATACTCCAAATCATAAGCTGTTTGAAGAATATTATTTAAATCAAGCAAAGCAAAAAGGAGGAAGCTTACCTGTGTTCCAGGGAGGTCGATATCAAAGAGGATATAGGCTAGGGTCTATATTTAAGGGTTTGTTTCGTTGGGCAGTACCTCGTCTGAAACAGGGAGCAAAAGCACTCGGTAAAAAAGCACTTAAAACCGGAGTAAACGTAGTGCAAGATGTTTTAGAGGGCGAGAACGTACAAGCAGCGGTTACCAAGCGAGGTAAACAGGCTATCGATGATATAGTGTCCCATAATACCCCGCGGTCACAGGTGGGGAGTGGTCGAAAAACTACAAAAAGGAAGAAAGGACCTACAACTCTCAGTTCTGCCTCAGTCAAGAAACGGAAAACAGCTCCACAGAAGCAAAAGAAACAGAGCGAATTACACCATTACTTTTACAAGTAAATTGAGTGAAGATGGCTTTAGTACATGGCGGCTCTCAGGAATGTAAGAAATCAGAACTTGACCTTTTTACTACCCCTACAACGCAGATATCCATTTCTAAAGGCTCTTGGATTGAATATCATCCATTAAGTAACATTACAGAGAGTGGGCCCATAGAGTTTTATGTATTGGGGTCAGGTGAAGAGTATCTAGACCTGGCACGTACACAGTTATTTGTTAAAGCAAAGATTGTCAAAGCAGATGGGACTGACGTAGAAGCAACTACACAAGTGGGACCTACCAACCTATTTTTACACTCTCTGTTTAGTCAAGTTGATGTATCGCTAAATGTACGTCTGATCTCATCATCAACCAACACCTATGCTTACCGCGCCATGTTGGAAACGTTGCTTAATTATGGGGATGAAGCTAAGAAAAGTCAGTTAACCATGTCACTGTTTTACAGAGATACCCCAGGCAAGATGGATACGGTCAATCCCCTGGCTGAAGACGACGATGCAAACCTGGGATTGAAAGCTCGCTTCGCTTTCACGAAAAGTAGTAACATAGTGGATATGATGGGAACTATTCACAGTGATGTCTTCTTCCAAGAAGGTTTGCTGTTGATCGGAGTTAATTGGAGAATCAAGCTTAACAGAGCTAAAAACTTTCTGCCCGCTCTCCTCTGCCACTACTCCAAATTTCAAGGTTACTATCACCGAAGCGATCTTATATGTTCGGAAAGTAAAAGTGGCATTGTCGATCACCCTTGGGATGCAGCTACGTTAAGACACACGACTGCTAAGTACCCTCTGCGTCGCGTGGATTGTAAAGTTCTTACTATTCCAAGGGGATTTAGTTCTTTTAACCCCGACAACATTTTCCTGGGTAGGATACCTAAACGTATTGTTTTTGGTCTAGTGGATACAGAGGCATTCAACGGATCTTATACTACCAACCCCTTCAACTTTAAACATTATAACTTGTCACTGGTTGGGGTTTACGTGGATGGAGAGCAAATACTTCCAAAACCATTGACTCTAAAATTTGACGCTGATGGTGGTCAGAACTTTATGGCTGGTTTTCAAACCCTTTTCTTAGGAATTGGAAAGCTCTCTCAAGATGCCGGAAACCAGATTGC